TGACTATTAATTTAAAGATGAGGTATAATTACTCGCATTACTCATGTTTAAAAAAAATAAGAAACTGTCTTAGGAAGTGTGGAATCTTTACGTTTCAATGTTTATTTATGTTTTAATCTAAACAAGTTTAATTAACTAGTGTGATTGATTTTTTTTTCTTTTTTAATTGTAATTGTTAACTGAGTATAAACCTAGGTTTTTTCTGAAACTTTGCTTTAAAATTTCAGGTTTAAGGTCATTTTTTCAAGCCTCCTCAAGGCAACAAAAATTAAAATTTTACTCAAAGTTGGTGTATTTATACTGTTTGAAACCTAACAATAAAAGTTAACAATAAACAAACTCGTTTTAACCTTTGAAAAAAATGGGTGAAGTACAAAAAAGTTCAATTTAAGTTAACTCAAGTTTAGGTAAAATTTAGTTAACTTAGGTTTAAAGATGTAATTCTTCCAACAAAAATATCTAATTAATAACATTACATTTATAATTTTTGAGTTTATTTTTTTAACTCGTATTGCTCATGTTTAAGAAAAATTAAGAAAGTGTTGGGAATCTTCATTTCATTCCTCTACGGTTGCATCGGCCTTGTTTCGCGACTCGCACCCCTTTTTCCTTACTTTGAAATAGCCTCGAAGGAAACGAATAAATTCCGATTTGGATCGAAAAGCGTGTGTTGTATGTAAATGACCCGACATGTTTTAACCGAAGCATTAGTAAACCATGAAAATAAATTTCATCGTCCGAAAACGGATTGTAAATAAAAAATCCCCTTTCTCACATGTGCTTCATCGAACAGATGCTTCTCGGTGGAAAAAATGAACAAAAAGTGAAAGTACTAATAGCCATATTGCCGGTGATAGCATCAATTGTTTCAGATAAAGTTATTTAAAGTTTGAACAGATAACGTATAATCAAGGTTGCTTTGAGGAAGTTGCCTAATTGGGGTTACGTCTACCTGGAATGCATGGATATTTGGCAGAACTCGGCTTCGCCTCGTTCTGCATATCATTTGTCTAAGTCGCAGCCGACTAGATTTTTTATTGACATATATGCATATGGTCAAGAGGTACCTACCCCTTGAATTAAAACTAGAGTACCATCTGCTCGGTCATCGTGCGTAGGTAAAAAAAAACAATAAAAGAAAAAAAGGCCCGAATTAAAAGGGCCGGACGCGCCCTAGCCGCATATCGAATGCGATAATGAGTTTTCATTGTGATATCATTCACCTTATTAACTAGACATATGTAAAGCAAGTCGAATTTTCGGCTTCGTTTCACCCTAATTTCGTTTACTTTAAAAATACACTCATCATTTCCTTTTTGTTTTGATTGAGACAGTCCCCTTTCTTGATTAAACGAACGGCGATTTTTCCAATAATGGAGCTCTTTTCTTTTCAATAACTCGCCTTTATTAAAAATATGTCACAGTTCGAAAGAATGTGGAATTAAAAAGTTTCGGTTTATTATTTCCATTAAATTGGACGTGAAATTCTTACCGATTTTTAATCCGTTGTGCGAGTTCGCTTTTATTAAAAGATAAATGTTGAAGGGAATTTCAAATTAGGAAAAAAATACACGAGGGATGAACGGACGGGGTGGGGGAGGAAGGAGGATTCTTTATTTTATCTCAGACGCAAAAGATATAATTATAAAATTAAAAAAATATTTTTTAATCGGATTTTATAAATTTAAAGGTTTTTAGGGTAATTTTAAGGTTCTACCATCAGTTAAAAGTGTAAAGTAACCCAGGTGTTATTTAATTTGTAAGATTATTAAACCTGGACAAAAATCATAAACTTGAAAAAATAAATCGAATTTTAAGCCTTTAAGTTCAAGTTTAACTTTAGGTTAGATCTAGGTTTAGGAATAAAAGTTTGAAACTAATCCTGAACAAAAATTTAAGCTTGAATCTCTAATATTGACTTAACCTAAGCAAAAATTTTGTTTGTGAACCCGAAAATTTTATTTTTACATTTTCAAAATAAATGTTGAAGGGAATTTCAAATTAAGAAAAAAATACAGGAGGGATGAACGGACGGGGTGGGGGGAGGAAGGAGGATTCTTTATTTTATCTCAGACGCAAAAGATATAATTATAAAATTTAAAAAAAAAGTTTTTTTTTCGTATTTCATAAATTTAGGGTAATTTTAAGGGTCTGCCATCAGTTAAAAGTGTAAAGTAACCCAAGTGTTATTTAATTTGTAAGATTATTAAACCTAGGCAAAAATTATAAACCTGAAAAAATAAATCGAATTTTAAACTTTTAAGTTCAAGTTTAACTTTAGGTTGGATCTAGGTTTAGGAATAAAAGTTTGAAACTAATCCTGAACAAAAATTTAGCTTGAAACTCTAATATTGACTTAACCTGAGCAAAAATTTTGTTTGTAAGATGGAAAATTTTATCTTTACGTTTTCAAAAAGCCTAGATTTAACTTGGTTAAATAATTAAAAGGATGAATTCCAGTACATTAGAAAATACTAGATTACTTAAACTTGGGTTAATTACTGCTAGGTTTGAAAATAAATACATCTATTTATTTAATAATAACTTTATTTAACGGTAATATCCTTTACATTAAGTAATAATAAAATTATAATAGAAAACAAATTACATATAAACATAATTAAAAAATACTAAATGACTAACTGATAATATATAAAAATTTGAAACTAAACCTAGGCAAAAGTTTAAGGGTATCCAATTTTGGGTTAATTTAAGCCAAAACTTTGTTTAGGGACCGGAAATTTTGATTGTAACTTTAATATTTTAAGACTTAATTTTGGAAAAACCTAGGCTCAAATCTGGGGTAATAATTAAAAAGACAAAATAATAGTATCACTATTTATTTAAAGATGAGGTACCTAATAAAAATTTGAAATTAAATCTTAACAAAAATTATAAGTTTGAAGAAATGACTAGGGTTTAAAATTCTCAAACCTCAGTCATAGAATCTAGAGAATTATATCAAGGAAATAGAAAATACTAGGATATTTAGACTTGTGCTAATTAATGCTTAACAATTTGAAACTAAACCTAGGCAACTGTTTAAAATTATCTAATGTTGGGTTAATCAAAGTCAAAACTTTGTTTATAGGCCTGAAAATTTGCTTTAAACCTAGTTTGAGTTAATAATTAAAAGAGCAAAATAGTATGAGAAATCAAACATGAGCAAAAATTATAAGCCTAAGGAAATGAGTAGGATATAGAATCCTCAAACCTAAATTATTAGGTTATTTAAACTTGGGTTACTTAATGCTTAAAATGAAATTTAAGTATAACCTAAGTTTATAATGAGTTTGACTAGGTTTGGGAAAAAACCCAGTTTGAAACTAAACCTAGGCAAAAGTTTACGATTATATAATGTTAGGTTAATCTAAGACAAAACATTGTTTATCGACCTGAAAATTAGATTGTTACTTTAATTTTATAAATTTAATTCTAAAAAACCTAGATTTAAATTTGATTAATAATAATTGAAAGGACAAAATAATATGAATATTTAATTCAAATCAAACCTGAGAAAAAATTGTAAGCCTAAAGAAATGACTAAAGTTTGAAAATTCTAGACCTTAGAATTCTCAAACCTAAGACATTATATCGTAATTAGAAAATACATTATACTAGATTTAGGCATATCTAAACCTGACCCAATTAATGCTTTCAATAGTGAAAAAACATTTGAATCTAAGTATATAATTATAGTCAATCACTAGATTTGTAATATGAGTTTGACCTAGGTTTGAAAAAAACAGCAACATCATATAGTTTAAAACTAAACCTAGGCAAAAGTTTACGATTCATTTAAGCCAAAACATTGTTTATAAACCTGAAATTTTGATTGTAACTTTAATCTTTTGAATCTTAATTTTTGAAAAACCTAGGTGTAAATCTGAGTTAATAATTAAAAGAGCAAAATAATATGCGTTTATTTGAACCTGAGCAAAAATTATAAGCTTAAGATATGACTAATGTTTGAAGATTCTAGACTGTAGAAACTTCAAACCTAGGGCATTATATCGCAGGATTAGAAAATACTAGGTTATCTAAACTTGGGCTAATTAATGCTTAAAAAAGTTAAACAAAAAAAAATGAATCTGAATAGGTATAGAACTCTAATCTAGAACTAGTTTTATAATGAGTTTGACCAAGGTTTGAAAAAATCTGCAAAAACATGCAGTTTGAAACTAAACCTAGGCAAAATTTCAAGATTGAAACTCTTAATTTGGTTTAACCTAATCAAAAATATTGTTTTTTGTTTACAGTTCATATTTCATAGTCCTAGATAATGTTTAAGATTTATTTTTTTTTCTTATTTAAAATTAGGCTTAATTTTTATCTAAATCTAGGATTATAATGTTGAAACCTGAATAAAAAGTAACTTTTAAGTTTGAATGAATGAAGATTTGGAGTGGTTATTTTAATTTTTTTTTAAACGGTCGCCGCGGCATATGGCGTATGCAAGCCAAGCAAGAATAATTACTTCTTATTCAAGTACACCTTTTCGGTCCGAGCCACCCACTATATTAATACGTTTCGGGCCCCTTGCCTTGTATTGTTTCAAGGGGAACACCTGCCCCCCGAAAAACGGGGGCCCGTAACCCTGGAACAGGTGAGTAGTGAACGTGTGATTAAAAAGATACCACATGGCTCGGGATGGGTGTGTTGATTTTTTTTCTTCCTTCCTTATATCTTTCACGATTATTGTGGGTGTTTTTTTATCGAGGGGCTTCACACTCTGATTTAAACAGCTATAATTTGAGATGTCGTTGAGATTTCGGTCAGGTGGCGTAATTTACACTCAAGCTTTTCAGAAGACGATGAAAAATGTGAGGGGATTACGACGCGCAAAAATGGAAGATTAAAATCGGTAATTGCCGCAAATGGGGGATGCGAAGGCGACGATAAATATCGAATATGAATTTCTTTTAAATTGGATGGCTTATCGTGAATAAATTACAAGGTTTTTAAGAAAATTAGACGTTTTTTTCATGGGTTTTTTTCAGGTGAACGGCCCTACAAGTGCCACTTGCCGGACTGCGGAAGGGCCTTCATCCAACTGTCCAACCTTCAGCAGCATCTCAGAAATCACGACGCTCAGGTCGAAAGGGCCAAAAACCGGCCCTTCCATTGCACCATCTGCGGCAAGGGTTTCGCCACGGAGTCCAGTCTGAGGACACATACGTCGAAAGTAAGCCATGTATGTATACACAAGTTTTTTTTGTTTTTTTTTGGGGGGGTTTTGGTTTTTTCGATTGGTTTCAGAGACGGAAAGTCGGCCAAAACGGCATTGAAACTTTAAATTTTCACTTTTTGGGTTAACTCAAACAGGAAAAAATTCATTTACATAAACATTAAAGTTTAAGATTAATAAATTATCCACTTAATGAACGTTTGAGTTTAACCTACATTTATTTATGGTAATTTTTTAGCTAATTACACTGTTACTAACATGTATTAATTTGCATTTTATTATTTTATTATTTTTTTAATTAATTAACGACAAATTGGGATCGAACGAGATTGATGGTTTAAAAAAATCAACATATTTAATTAATTAATTAAATAAAATAGCTAGTTAACTGCAAGAATATCGGTTAAACCGCCGTTTTGAAAATTTGACAATAAACTCGTTGAGTTCTTGTAATTAAATGCTGATGTTTGAACACATAAGTGACGATAATGTATCGAAGAGGAAGTTGTAAATCGTATCAAACCACTCGACAACACACAACTTTATTGTTTTCTGTTTAAATTCCGACAAGTAACAAATTAATTAACTCTGAAAAAAAAAAGTTTCAATGCCAAGTTCGAAATGCAACTTGAAAATTTGATGATAAACTCGACTTGCAATCGATTCAGGTCAATTAACCCGGAATTCATTTAATAAGCACCTTGAAGGACAATGCCAGACACTTTCCGGACTCTTTTTCACTTATCACTTTTCCGTATGATTATCTTAATTCACACACAGTTGATTTGTTGGTTTTTTCATTATTTTTGGTTTTGGTTTCAATGGTTATTTTGTTGGGGTGGCAACAGTGCGACCGAAAATTTATCCCGCTCCCATTATTAGTTAAAAATAATATCAAGTGAATACTAATTTTTCCTACGTTGGTATTACTGTCGAGCCCAATTTAAAACTGACTAAAACTAGTTAATACAATTCTAAGACAAAATATCTATGGTTTAATTAATTTATTTATTTTGGTAAGTATTATGTCATTTTCCCCTTTAACTTAAACTAATACTAGTTTAATAATAATACTTGATTAAATAACGATTTTTGTGTCGATAATTATGATAAATTAACTACAAACTATTAAATTCTA